AGAGCGGAAGAAAGTAGAGACAGAGGTGAGTATGGGTTACAAGACTAGAAATGATGGTCCAGAGGAAAGGCAGTAATGATAGTCTTAACAGTAATGACAATAACTAACATTCAGCAAGCACTTACTATGTGCTAGGCACTATATTTTATATATATATTCACTAATGTAAGTCTTCTTTTTCCAAATGAGGAAACTATCACAGAAGTGAAGTAATTTGCCTAGGGTCACCTCATTATTAAGTGACAGAAATAGGATACGAACCTGGGCAGTCTAGCTCTAAAGCTCACACTCATAAATATACTTCACTTAGTGCCTTCCTAATAACAATAATAGTAAAATAACAGTAGAAACTTGTTATAGTATCCTAAAGCCTACAGTGCGCCAAGTATTCTGCTAAGCACTTCTTTGGCAGTAGGCATTAGTATTAATAGCTACCCTATATTAGGCACTTAACATGTGTTTTCTTTTTTAAATTTATTAACCATTGTTTACTTTAAAACTTTTTTATTTTTCAGTTACACTTGACACATAATATTAGTTTCAGGTGTACAACACAGTGATTAGACATTTATATAACTTACAAAGTAATCACCCTAATAAATCCGATACCTATCTGATACCATATATAGCTGTTACAATACTACTGTATTCCCCATGCTATACTCTATATCTCCATGGCTATATTGTAACTACCAATTTGTATCTCCTAATCTCTTCCCCCCTCACCCATCCCTCCAATCCACCTCCAATCTGACATCCATCAAAATGCTCTCTGTATGTATGAGTTTGTTTCTGTTGTTTATCCTGTTCTCTAAATTCCACATATAAGTAAAATCATTTAACATTTGTCTTCCTCTGATTTACTCTACTCAGTATGATACCCTTTAGATCCATCCATGTTGTTACAGATGGTAAAATTTCATTTTTTTATGGCTGAGTAGTATTCCATTATACGTGTGTACCACCTTTTCTTTATCCATTCATCCACTGATGGACACCCTGGTTGCCTCCATATCTTGACTATTGTAAATAATGCAATAAACATGGATGTATATGTCCTTTCGAAGTGTTTTGGATTTCTTTGAATAAACACCCAAAAGTGGGATTACTGGGTCTTTCTTTGTCTTTTATGGCTGAGTAGTATTCCATTATACGTGTGTACCACCTTTTCTTTATCCATTCATCCACTGATGGACACCCTGGTTGCCTCCATATCTTGACTATTGTAAATAATGCAATAAACATGGATGTATATGTCCTTTCGAAGTGTTTTGGATTTCTTTGAATAAACACCCAAAAGTGGGATTACTGGGTCTTTCTTTGTCTCTCGTTATAGCCTTTGTTTTAAAGACTATTTTGTCTGCTATAAATATTGCTACCCCAGATTATTTTTTATTTTCATTTTCATGAAATATTTTTTTCATCCTTTTACTTTCAGTGTGCATGTGTCTTTTAATCTGAAGCCAATCTCTTGTAGGCAGCATACATAACAGTCTTGTGTTTTAATCCATTCAGCTACCCTATGTCTTTGGATTAGAGCATTTAATTATTTTTCATTTGAAGTATTTGTTGATAGATAAGTAGTTAATGGCATTTTACTATTCATATTTTTGATATATGTTTTTTTCTTCTTCTTAAATAAGTCTCTTCAACATTTTCTGTAATACTGACTTGTCAATGATGAACTCAAAAATTTTTCTTAAGTCCTAACATCTTGTAATACTGGTTTGGTGGTGATGAACTCCTTTAGCTTTTTCTTGTCTGGGAAGCTTTTTATATGTCCTTCAATTCTAAACGATGGCTTCGTTGGGTAATATTGGTTATAGGCCCTTTTCATCACTTTGAATATTTCATGCCAATCCTTCTGGCCTGCTAAGTTTCTGTTGAGAAATCAGCTGAGTTTTATGGGAACTCTTTTGTAGATAACTAACTGCTTTTCTCTTGCTGCTTTTAAGATGGTCTCTTTGTCTTTAACCTTTGGCATTTTAATTATGATGTGTCTTGTGTGCGCCTCTTTGGGGTTCATCTTGTTTGAGACTGAGCTTCTTGGGCTTGTATGTCTGTTTCTTTTGCCAGGTTAGAGAAGTTTTCTGTCATTATTTCTTCAAATAGGTTTTCAGTTTCTTGCTCTTTCTCTTCTGGTACCCCTGTGATGTGAATGTTGATATGCATGGTGTTGTCCCAGGTTCCCCTTAAACTGTCCTCATTTTTTTGGATTCTTTTTCTTGTTGCTGCTCTGATTGGTTATTTTCTGCTACCTTATCTTCTACATCACCGATTCAGTTCTCTGTTTCATTTAATCTACTGTTGATTTTCTCTACTCTTCATTCAGCTATTATATTCTTCATTCTTCATTTCTGACTGGTTCTTTTTTATGTTTTCTGCCTCCATTTTTGTTTTCTGTCTTTTTGTTAAAGTTCTCACTGAGTTCATCTACTCTTCCCCTAAGTTTATTGAGCATTCTTACAACCAGTGATTTGAAATCTGCATCTGGTAGATTACTTGTCTCCATTTTGCTTAGATCTTTTTCTGGAGCTTTGTTCTGTTCTTTCACTTGGATATGTTTCTTTGTCTTCACGTTTTGGCTGCCTCCCTGTGTTTGTTTCTATGTATTAGGTAGAGTTGCTATGTCTCCCAGTCTTGGTAGAGTGAGCTTATGTGGTAGGTGTCCTGTGGGGCCCAGTGGCACAGTCTCCCTGGTCACCTGAGCCGGGTGCTCAAGGTGTGTCCCTTGTGTGGGTTGTGTGTATCCTCCTGTGTAGTTGAGCCTTGGTTGCTATTTTAACATTAATAGGAGGGATTGATTCTCAGCCATTTGGTTGTGAGGACTGGCTGTGACTACAGTGGAGGAGCTGTTGTACAGGGGCTGACCCTATGGAGCAGGATTTGCTTTAATGGGGCTCTAGTGCCTGCCAAGTCTGACCTTTGGGTGTGTCGTTTTGGAGGTGGTTGGGTGATGCCCTGGTATGCTCTGAAGCTGTCCACTGGGTGTGTTGGTTCTGGGACCTTTTGAGATGGGCACTGTTGCAGGCCAAAGTCAGCCACTGCCTGTTCCCTGTCCGGGGCCACTTTGTGTAAGCTACAAAGTGATCTGCAGATGATTGCCACCTGTGCTGGGCTTGGAGATGCCTGGGAGAGGCTGAGCTGCGAACCAAGGCGGCTGCCCCTAGTGCCAGGCTTGGGGCCAGTTAGCAAGAGGCATGGGGCGTGCTGAGGCCAGATGCCTCTTGTTTGAAGTTTGTGGACCTTTGAAAGTCCACAGCATGAGCCAAGACAGGCCATTTGTATGGAAAATCCACTGGAAGTGGCTTGGGCGATCCTGCACATTGGGTCAGGCGGGGTTTTAGGGAGTCACCAGGGCAGGACGAATAATGTTAGCCAGGTTGATGGAGACTCAGATATGGCAGCTGACTGCCTCTGTATGCTGGGTAGGGGAGGGCTCAACAAAGGAACAACGGACTAAGCCAGTACTTTTGGGAGAAAGCTGCCTTTCCAGCCCCCGACCTGAAGTCAGACAATTCAGTTCCTCCCCATATGTTCCTTCCCATATGTCCAGCTGCTGCCCCAACACTGGAGCTCAGAGATAGTGAGTCCATCAGCAAGTAGGTCCATGCATGGGCCCTTTAAAGGAGTGCCTGGAACTCTAGCCACCCTCCTTCTCACTCAGCCACAGTCTCCCCTCGTTTTCACAGTCAGAAGTTATGGGGACTTCTCTTCCCTTGGAGCCCTGGGCTGGGGAGCCCAGTGTGGGCCTAGGACCCCTTGTTCCTCAGGGAGGACCTCTGCAGCAGAGATATCCCTCCCTGTTTTTAAGCAGCACCGGTGGACGTGAGACCAGTCCGTTCTGCATCTTCTCTTCTCCTAACAATCTTGAGGAGGTGTCTTTTGTATATCCTTAGTTATAGGAATTCTATTCAGCTAGATTTCAGTTGATTCTCAATGATGGTTGTTCTGTAGTTCAGTTGTAATTTTGAGGTGGTTGTGAGAGGAGGCCAGGACAACATTTACCTACTCCAGCATCTTGACTGGAACTTAAGCACTTAATGCGTATTTCTGAAGTGGAGGTTATCTGTTTTACGATGAGAAAACAGAGGTGCAGAAAGGCCCCAAAAGCTTTACTTGGCCTTGGTTTGAGCCTTCCTGAGTGGTGAGGAAGATAGTCTAGGTTGGGTAGAACACTATGAAAGGATCTCATTGGGCCCTGGGAGGCCCCATCAGTTAGCAGAGCCACTCCGAGCACTGTCTGTATGTCTGCTTTTTAGTAGGCCTCCTGCATTATTGACAGGCTGTCTTGGACTTTTGGGCTCTTGGATGAGTGGGCACATAGCGGCTGTAAGCCCAGGCCCTATGGTCTTGGAGTTTATTTGCTCAGCCCCTGGTGATGGAGTATATTTGTTTCTCTCTCAGGCCAAGATCAAGCAAAAGCTGCGGGAGATTGAAGAGAATCAAAAGCGGATTGAGAAACTGGAGGAGTACATCACAACTAGCAAGTATGTGGCTCTGCAGCCTTCCCTCTGAACTTCTAGGCCTGTTCTTGTTAACCCTACATGTCCTGCCCCTCCCTAGGCAGGACCCCCAGAGACCCTCTCAACCAGGAGTATTTCTTGACTAGCCAGAGTAATCCCTGTCTCCTTACTTTGTAGGCAGTCTTTAGAGGAGCAGAAGAAACTAGAGGGGGAGCTGACAGAGGAGGTGGAAATGGCCAAGCGGCGTATCGATGAGATCAACAAGGAGCTGAACCAGGTGATGGAGCAGCTGGGGGATGCCCGTATTGACCGCCAGGAGAGCAGCCGCCAACAGCGAAAGGCAGAGATTATGGAAAGCATCAAGCGCCTGTACCCCGGCTCTGTGGTAAGAGTGTAGAGAGAACTCATTTCCTGAGCATTTACTTTCATACTTACTGTCAGGTCATTTTCCCAGCAATTCTGTGAGGACAGGATTGCTAATTCCATTTTTACAGCTGGGAAAACTGAGACTCAGGTTAAATGACTTGTGTAAAAGAGCACAGCTTATGAGTGGAAGAACTGCAGTTCAAACCCAGCTTGTTCTGACTTTTAACCTCATGTTTGTTTTTTTTTTGGTCACGCCAGTTGCATCTTTCCGAAGGTTTTGCCTTGCTGTGTCTGCTTGTGGGAGGTGGGAAAACTGGAGAGGCCCTTGGAAGAGGGAGGGGCCATGGGGCAGGAATTGGTTTTTCAGAAAGTAGCTCTGTGCAGGTTTCTATATGAGCTCCCTTGGCGTGTACCATCTGACTCATTCACCAGATTTTATCAGATCTCTTGGCCTCTTGAGTCAAATTCTGACTTCCCAGATTTCCCGAATATTATCCCTCTATTGCTGTAATCCCATTTCTGGGTTCAACTTAATTGGGTACCATAAATATTTCCTGATATCTCCTCTGGACACTGCTGGGGAGTTTATAAGGGTGATTTAGGCTCAGTCCCTGTCCTCAAAGATCTTTCCCTTTTTATGATAGTTCTTGGGTTACTACGGTTGGTTTTGGGGGCATGGAGGAAGTGAATTGAGAAAAGAGATTTCTTTTGCTGGGTGCTTGTGAGAATTTGTGATAATGTATGTAGGGTATCTGGCATAGTACTTGGAGTGGCAGTGGTCTGTGAAATGGTAAAAATGAGGTTTAGAAAGATGATTTTGGATTCAGACATGACTGCCTACAGTTGTTGTTGCTTTGGGGCCACAGAGTAAGCTTTTCCTTCATAGCTTGGTGGCTATGTTCCTGATACAGATTCTGGTCCATCCCCCTTTCCAAGTTGGGAATTGGGGTTTCTGAGCCAGCTCCTAGAAGCCTCATGCTTCAGTTTTCTCTTCTGACTTTCTCAGTATGGCCGCCTCATTGACCTTTGCCAGCCCACACAAAAGAAGTATCAGATTGCTGTAACCAAAGTTTTGGGTAAGAACATGGATGCCATTATTGTGGACTCGGAGAAGACAGGCCGGGATTGTATTCAGTATATCAAGGAGCAGCGTGGGGAGCCTGAGACTTTCTTGCCTCTTGATTACCTGGAGGTGAGGCTGGTTGGGATTGGGCCAGGAGTGTGTGTGGAGGCCCCTCCTCCAAGTCCTCCATGTTCTGCCATCTACTGAGCTTCTTCTCTTAGGTGAAACCTACAGATGAGAAACTCCGGGAGCTTAAGGGGGCCAAACTGGTGATTGATGTGATTCGATATGAGCCACCTCACATCAAAAAGGCCCTGCAGTATGCTTGTGGCAATGCCCTTGTCTGTGACAACGTGGAGGATGCCCGTCGCATCGCCTTTGGAGGCCACCAGCGCCACAAGGTATGGATGCCCTTGCCCAGATTGGAGCTGGACAGGCTTAGTATTGGAGATTCTTCTATTCAGCTCTTCCTTCTCTCTTCTCTCCACTGTGTGTAGACAGTGGCGCTGGATGGGACCCTGTTCCAGAAGTCAGGAGTGATCTCTGGTGGGGCCAGTGACCTGAAGGCCAAGGCGCGGCGCTGGGATGAGAAAGCTGTAGACAAGTTAAAAGAGAAGAAGGAGCGGTTGACAGAGGAGCTGAAAGTAAGCAGCGTTGTCTCTAGGAGTAGGGCATCCTAAGCCCAGGCTAGCCACCTTCTTAACACCTTGCCCTTTTTTCTTGTCCACTTCAGGAGCAGATGAAAGCAAAGCGGAAAGAGGCAGAGCTACGTCAGGTGCAGTCTCAGGCCCATGGACTACAGATGCGGCTCAAGTACTCACAGAGTGATCTAGAACAGACCAAGACACGACATCTAGCCCTGAATCTGCAGGTGGGATCTAGCCTTTAACTTTGTTTTCTAAAGGCTATCCTCCCATTCCTGGCCTGGGTTTCTCTAGGGAACTTGTCTCATTTCCCTCTCTCCTCCCAGACTGCTCTAGGGAACCAAGCATAGTATATTGTCAGACAGCCAGGGGTTCAGATCTTGGCTCTGTGTGATATTAGGCAAGTTACTTAACCTCTCAGTGTTAGTTTTTTCATCATTATCTGTAAAATGGGAGTTAGAATGCTACCATAGGGTCGTTGTAAAGATTGAATGAGTTAATACAGGTAAAGTGTTTAGATTTATTCCTCGTACCCAAATACTCGGTAAATGTTAGGAGCTGTTATTAGCATAATTCATTCATTTAATAAATGTTTGAGCTTCATCTAAAAATGAATTGAAAGTGAGCTGCAGGCATTTCAGTCCCTGTGGGTGGAGGTACTCTTCTAGGTATGTTAATGTGTTTGATCATGAGGTGCTTCCCCAGACCACCCTGGAGGTGTTATGTGTAGTGTGTGTGTGTGTGTGTGTGTGTGTGTGTGTGCAGATATGTCTTCTCCATGTGGCCAAAGGCCATCTCTTACCTCACTGATACCTGGTGAAGGAACTTAATCTGAGGTTCCACAAGGTTCCACCTTATTTATGATCTGCTCATTGGGAAGAATCATAAGAGAGTAAATGTGACCACAGGGACTGGACCTTCCTCCTTAAGAAAGACTGATCACACTCCCTGCTGCTAAAAATTATTTAGGACTTAACTCTTTCCAGTTGAA